AGCATATGTAATTATATGTGGGATTACTTTCATAGGGTTGGTTATAAATGGTCTATTTGGCCTACAAACAGATTAGAAAGAACCAAAAATATAAAGATCTGGAGGGAGAAAATTTCAGAGAGAAGGAACAATGTATGCAGAGACCTTTGTCAGATAAAATCTTGGCTTGTTAAAGGAACTGAAAGCATCTCAGTGTGGTTGAAATACAGAAAATAAGGAAGATAATGGAATTAAGTGATATTTAAAGACATAGAATCCATAAGTTATAAAGTCTTTGGGTCACAATGAGAAGTTTGGAGTAAATGCTAACAGCATTAGAGAACCAGAAAATGATTTTAAGCAAAGGAATGGTATGGTGTTACAAGGAAGGATCACCTGGGTTATATGTGGAAAGAGTTAGAAGGGTTCAAGAGATGGCAAATCTCCTAATTAAAGAGAAATACATGTTAAAAGAATTTCAACAAGTGTGGTAAAATATAAAAGAGAGGCAAGGAGAGTACAGTGTCAACCATGGAGTCCAATGATAATACATGAACTCTTTCCACCCCATGCAATATTTGTGAGTTCATTGCAACTTATGTAAACCCTCTATGCCTCAACTTCCTCATTTGTGACATCGATATAATCATAGGACTCCTATGAGAATAAATGAGACAATGCATATAATGCATTTAGCCTATAAATAAATGGTAGTTCTCATTAAATGATAATACTAGTGTTAGACATATTATGGGAAATGGACTCCAAGGTAGGCAGTCCAGTACAGCAGCTGTTGCAATTGTTCAGTGGGGTAATGACAGTGGCCTGTATCAGGACAGTGGTAAGAGACACAGCTAGATTGTGGAAATTTGGGGAGGTAAAATCATCTAGTTTCTGATTGAATATTAGGGGTACTAGAGTAACAGAAGTTGAAGTGACTCTCCAATTTTTAGCTTTAGTGTCTGGGAGGAGAGTCAGGGCATTGACTGAATAGGAAAGAACAGATAAAGGAGTGAATCACTAATCTCACATCTCTGTAAGAGACAGGAACCCTAGATATGTTTAAATTAAAAGGGAGAGAGATTGGCAACAGAAGCAACATCAACCACGCAGATATAGACAGAGAAGGGGAGAGAGAGACAGAGACAGAAAGACAAAAGCAAGGAAACCGAAGAAACATACTTTGAATATTCCTGATAGTGACTTCTTAGGTTGTTCTCCTTTCTTAAATCTCAGTGACACAACTTTTTCACAGAAAGCTAAATGTTCCTTCTCTAACAGATTCTGTGTTTTTGCCCAACCCCTAATAAATTCCCCTGCTGTTTCCCCAGCATGGGGATTTTATACTTACTTGTCACTGAGAAGATTCAGGGGGAAACTCTTTCTACTTTCTCTTCAGTCTGGAGAAGAACTTTTGAAAAGCAAGCCATGAGAATCTCTAAGCTCACAACGAATTGTGAATTTCAGAGGCGTAGAAACCACAATAAAAATGAAGGTGTGAACTTGACCTCTAGCTTGCTGTTTTGGCCTAAATGGGCACTGTTATTTAACACAGAGGTGTAAACAGAACATCTTCCTCTTGTAAGTGAAACTTTCTTCACTAGTGGAGCCAAAACAAACAACCATGTTTGTTAAGTACAAAAATGGAAGTGTGATTTGAGTGGGTGTGAGCTGTTTCTAAATTTTGAAATTGTAATGCACTTGTATCTTCTTTTGCTTTCTTATAGCCTCTGCAGGGATTATATAATAAATAGTAGCATCAATGTTAATACTGAACTCTAAGTGGGTAGTGGCAAGGGATGATTTACATGTATGGGGACAAATATTTAGTTCTATCCTGATAGCCAAACTAGTGTTACAAGATCATACTATCTTACTATGGGATTAGAAATGCTCTACCATAATATGCTTTCACACGTCACAATGAGAGGTAGGTAAGCTAGCTGCATTCTACTATGTAGTCCCTCCAACTCAGAGAAAAGAAAGTAGAGTAGTGAAAATAGCAAAAGATTTGAAGAAAGCCTGCATGATATTAGATCCTATATTTACCATTTTCTATTTTTCTTACTTTGTGAAATTTATTAAATCTTTCTGAGCCTCAGTTTCCTCATGTGCATTCTGAGAGTAATAATAGTTCTACCTCTCAGCATAGTTGAAGGAATTAAATTAGATAATTCATGTGAAATCTTCCTTTTTGGATAACTTGGTGAATTCTTTGTTGTTATTGTTGATGGCTTTATTGAGGTACGATTAACATGCAATACACTGCAAATATGTCAAGCATAAAATGTGAGCTATTAAACCTTATACATACAGCTATAAAAATCATAATCAAGTTACTGAATGCATCTAATACAACAAAAATATTCTTTTTGTCTATAAAACTACCAGTCTTTCCTAACTCTTCCACATGCACAAACCACAGCAAACATTTTTAGTATTTTATAAATGAAATCCATGTACTTTTTAAGATGGGGCTTTGGCTTTTTTCACTAACCAGAGCTATATTGAGGTTAATCTATCTTGATGCATGTGTAAATAGTTTGCTTATATTGCTGAGCAGTATTCTTTATATACCACCTATATACCACCATACCTCTGGTGGTAGGGTAGATTGACTCTAATTGGGATCCCTGGAGGACCCTTTGGGCAGATTTACCTATAGCTTTTTCCTGACAAATTTACCTGGATGCATTTTTGATGGTCACAACATGATGATTATCTGACTTTCCCCATGTGAGAACTTATCCACCCTCCCACTCTAAATCATACATATATACACAAGAAGATTACATGACTCTTTCAGACATATCACAGATGATAGGCCAAATAGTGTGAGTGAAAAAGAAGAGGAGAGGGAGTGAAAGGGAAGAGGAGAGGAAGTGAAAGTACTTTTTAGAATAACAGCAGCTCATAACATTGACACTTTTCTGTGAATTCATGTCTTAGACTTTTGTTCTCCTATCATATCTCTATGTACTGGATTTGTTAATACATAAGAAGTCATTCTACCACTAATGTGGAGAAGCTAAAACCTATCACCCCTCTGATTTGGTAAAAACAAATTTGAAACAATAACATCAAAACACCACACCTGAAGAACAAACTCACTAATTTCTTTCTTCTAATTCTAGAACTGAATAGTAGCAGTTATCTGAATCTAGTAGTCACTGCTGCAAAATGACAAAATGTATGCTTATAAAATTTGTCTTTGGGGCAGTGGAATGAATCTGACATAACTTCCCTATGTACATTTATAAATACACCACATGGATCTCACCATCATGTATATCCACAAGACTGGGATGCTAATTAGAATAAGATATACTCCATGTGTGTATAAATGTCAAAATAAACTCTATTGTCATGTATAACTGAAAAGAACAAATAAAAATAAATCTAGTATCAAAACTTTGAAAATAAAAATTTAATTCATATTTGATAAGGTATATTTTCTATCAATATCTGGAATTATTTAGAATCTATATCCACATCCAGACAAAACAATAGAAAATTGTCTTTGGGAGGAAAACAAAGATGGAAAGAAGGAGGTATATGGAGAGTAGGTAACTTGTTCTCCCACTTGAAGTCACAGATTTTTCATTTAGTGGTTGTGTGGACATAAAACCATCTTTTCTGGGTATTGCTTCTTTTACCTGTATTATCTGGAGGTTGAATATGATGATTTCCAAAGGTCCTTCCCATTCTGAAATTTTACATGATAATTGAAGTAAAATAATTAGTCTGTTGCTCTCCTGCCAGTCATCTGCAAAATACAGACTGGACCTTGAGAAGATTACCCTAATCTTTCTCCATGTCCTAACATAATACATAATAAAAATCATACTACCTCAGAGAGTCAAGAAGTTGAGGCAGGAAGATTTCAAGCTTGAGACCAGCCTCAGTAATTTAGCAAGACTTTCAGTGATTTAGTGAAATTGTCTCAAAATACAAATTAAAAAGGTGTGGGATGTAGCTTAGTGGTAAATCATCCTTGGGTTCAATCTCCACTACCAAGAAAAAAAAAAAAAACTAAAGTATAAAGTACGATTGAAGAATTCAAAAAGTTTTCTCTTACAATGATTAATGAAAACAATGTTAAATTTTTTTCAAAAAAATGATTTTGGTGGCCTATTTTGCTGGTACCCTGAGCAATCTTAACGGTGATTGCTGGATATCATGAAATCCTGATGATACCTCACCAGTACAGGATTCCCCTTAGAGGGAATTTTTTTCCTAAGATGATTTGAATGGAAATGCCTTAAAATTCAGTTTCTAAATTCAAATATTGAAATATATTATGTATATATAGGGATTAAACTCAGAGGCACTCGACCACCGAGCCACATCCCCGCCCTATTTTGTATTTTATTTAGAGACAGGGCCTCACTGAGTTGCTTAACATTGCTGAGGCTGGCTTTGAACTTGCGATCCTCCTATATCAGCCTCTGGAGCTGCTGGGATTACAGGCATGCACCACTGTGCCCAGTAATCATATGAATTTTAAATAGGACCTAAGCCAAAAGAGACAGACAAACTCTAAGAGAGCCTCTGTCATAAGTTATTATGATAAAATGATAACAAATCCATAGCCCTCGATTTTGAAAATCAGCCATGATACTGCTTGAGGAATTAGGGTCATTTTTTTAAGTGCTGAGTGCCAAGGTAGAAATCTAGCACCCAATGAACAAAATGTTAAAGGAGAGGCAAGGGTATCCAAAAGATGAGGCTAAATTTCTACCATCTTGACTTGGAGTGACTGAGCAGTATTCACTCTAACCAGGGACTTGGGCAAAACAAATTTGGCAGCAAAAGAAATATACTTGCATGCTATACTCTTTGTTGTAGGGTGAATAATAGATTGAGTATTTAAATACACCCTTGCTTGCAAGACATAACTTAGAGAACCTGATTGAGCAGTTGTAGGAAAGTTCCATTATTCCTTAAGTGATTGACTGTATGATCTTGGATCAGTAGTACATCTTCCTTGAGCTTCTACTTTGTAATTCTAATATTCTGTACCTTTCTAAATATAAGAAAGATCTGGGTGTTGATTAAACAATTAATCACTGTTCTTTTTTCTTTGCTTTGGGCAGGGATCATAAATCCACGGCGTACCTTGATGAATATACTGAAATATTCAAGATGGGTAGCAACCGTACCAACTATGTTGAGACTAACTGCAGTGTCACTAATTTGACATTTCAGTACTCCCTCTATGCAACCACCTATATCCTGATATTCATCCCTGGTCTTCTGGCCAATAGTGCAGCCTTGTGGGTCCTGTGCCGCTTCATCGGCAAGAAAAATAAAGCCATCATTTTTATGATCAACCTCTCTGTGGCTGACCTGGCTCATGTGCTGTCCTTACCCCTCCGGATTTACTATTACATCAACCGCCACTGGCCTTTCCAGAGGGCCCTTTGTCTGTTGTGCTTCTACCTGAAGTATCTCAACATGTATGCCAGCATTTTCTTCCTGACGTGCATTAGCCTGCAGAGGTGCTTCTTTCTCCTCAAGCCATTCAGGGCCAGAAACTGGAAGCGTAGGTATGATGTGGGCATCAGTGCTGTCATCTGGGTCATCGTGGGGACTGCCTGTTTGCCATTTCCTATCCTGAGAAGCACAGACTTAGGCAACAACACAGAATCCTGCTTTGCTGATCTTGGTTACAGGCAAATGAATGCTGTGGCTTTGGTTGCAATGATTATAATTGCTGAACTTGCTGGATTTGTGATTCCAGTGATCATCATTGCCTATTGTACCTGGAAAACTACTATATCTTTGAGACAGCCACCCATGGCTTTCCAAGGGATCACCGAGAGGCAAAAAGCATTGAGGATGGTTTTCATGTGTGCTGCAGTCTTCTTCATCTGCTTCACTCCCTATCACATTAACTTTATTTTTTATACTATGGTAAAGGAAACTATCATTAGCAGTTGTCCCATTGCCAAAAGCACACTGTATTTTCATCCTTTTTGCCTGTGCCTTGCAAGTCTCTGCTGCCTTTTGGACCCAATTCTCTATTATTTCATGGCTTCAGAGTTTCGTGACCAACTGTCTCGCCATAGCAGCTCTGTGACCCGTTCCCGTCTCATGAGCAAGGAGAGTGGTTCATCAATGATTAGCTAAAAATAAAATAAGTAATTATAACTGTTTAGTTATGTTCTTGGGATTTTTTTCTAAAGGTCAGAATTACCATCCAGATAATTTTTTTAACTAAATTGAAACAAGAAAAAAAAAAGTGTTTTCTTGTATGATAGTTGAGGTCACAGGGATGTGATAGCAGAGGGAGTGTTGAAAATGTAGAAGAAGGGAAAACAGTATTTGTCTTCCTGAACTTAAAAATTCAAGGTACTTTATCAGTTAAGAGACCTAGATCACGTTTTTACAAATGTTTGTAACAAAAGAGAAACTGGATACTTTAGCTTAAAAATTTTCTGTAGATATTGCTAATAAGATACAACAAATACAAGAATTTTTTTTCTCAAATTTAAAAATCAATCTCTTTTGTAAGAAGAATTTTATTTCTAAATGAGAGTCTGAGTGTTAAATCATAAAGAGGTGTAAGGAGTTAAAGCAGTGCATATGCTTCAGGACCACAAAATTTTTACTGAAGGAAGGGTGTAGAAAATCATTCATTCACTGAAAATTTATTGGATGTCTATTTTGTTCTGGACTGCCTATTTCTTAGACACTTTGATATATAGTATCTCATCTGACCCCTCTAACAAAAATGGTATAATGTGAAAGTTTCTAATACAAATGAATAAATGGCATCTCAGAGAGGTTAAGCAACTTGCCTTTGATTAAAAGTAGTGAGCCAAAATTTGTTGAGTATAAATCATGTATTCTCAAGTTATTCTCTCTCTGTTATTATACTCATTAGGGTAATACTAAACTTAAGTGCAATAGTTAAGCTAAGACACATGAGATTAAGGTCATTTCAATATGATTTTCCTTGGATTACCCCCAAAAATCTATGGGTTATGGGGTTAACCTGTCATAGTTCAGGCTGCAAGGTCTCTGGTGATAGCTATGTTGTCATTGTGACAATCTATTGAATCATGACAAGGGGTCCAGAAGACCCAAATAGTTCATTAGTTTTCAAAACATATATTTTAAGGCTTAATACAGGTCATATAATCTTTATAAATAAGTGAAAGGAAGTTTTGAAACTGAGCATTGGACTTTTTTCTGTAAAATTTAGTTTTTAAAAATATGCCTAACTGCTTTTTTTTTAACAACTATATATTACTCTTAGCAAATGTGTGTTTGACTTTTAAGAAGCTTTTCTGTAAGCAGGACTCACAGAATTGCATAGAAAACAAAATATTATCATATTGTGAATGAATATGAGAAAATATGTATCCTCTCTCTGGCAATCTTATCTTAATTTTCCCAAAGTTTATAGATACTGTTTTAGCATCATTATGGAGGATTTGAATACAAGCAATCCCTTAGCTTCTCAAGTTGGCATTTATGAAACTCAATCTGACATTCTTATCTTTTACATCTGAAATATAAATAGCATAGATATTGGGTGGAGGGAGGAAAATGCAAGTCATAGTCCTCAAAATATCCATTTGAACAGATTTGCTTTAGCAGAAGAAGGGACAACTAAAAGGAGGAAGTTTTTTAAAGAACAAGTTTTCTGGGGAGAGAGAATTCTGTAATTATAAATTAATAAAACTGTTTTTTCATGTGTATATATCTGTATGTACTTTATTAACCTGCATCTGAAGTCACTGTCTAAAGAGTTTCCATATGTCCTTGGACTTAATGGCAGCATTATAAGAATCATGGTCCCACTCTGAAGAGATGACATTGAAAGAAACCCACTTGGAACTACACAACCTGCTATGTTTGTGGAGAAAAGAAACCTCAGAATTTAAGCATCACAGGCTTCATATTCCCTCCTCTCAAGTGGTTGATGAGGCATAGTGCTTCATGCACAAGATTTGTGGATTAGTGGGCAAGTTAAATGATGTGCCTTTCAATTTGGCCACTGTTGGAAGGAAAATCTTTGGGCTTTTTCTGATATATGAATTCATAATGGGATTAGAGGAAAAACCACAAAACCATATCCAAGCAAACAATAGTTGGTTCTTGTATTTTAAAGGCTAGGAAATCTTGCAAAATGCCAGCGGGAAAGGTGACAGTGCTTGAGCTGATCAGATAGCACACCAAGAAATCACAGAGACTGCCTGAAACTATTACAATTGCCAATTATTTTAATAGCTGTCCCTATGATTGTCACAGGGACATGATGTGAGACAATGAGGATAGCCAAACATACATCCTTAGTTTTTCAAAATTTAATGCTAAACCCTACATTGCCCACAAATTGCTGTAAGATACCTATCATAATTCACTTAGAAAGCATTCAGAATCTCTTAACACTGATGAAAGACTAATCTGCTGATAGTTTTAGTTAAAATGGAAGAAATTTAATAACGCTTACAATAATGTACATGACTTTAATTGCAATTTATGCATGGTTATGCTGTTTACATTTAGGAAGCATGAAATACTAGCAAAGAGTATATAATGTTTGCCATTGAATAAGTAGATTACCATTATGTGTGGTTATTTCTATAAAAATATTAAGCATGAAAATTTTTGGGGTGGTACTGGCTATTGAACCCATAGTTTTGAACATGCTAGACATGTATTGCTACCACTGAGCTATATCCTAGCCCCACCATCAGACTTCTGTTTGAACATTTAACTCCTCTATTATAGAATTGCTTCTGTGAGAAAATCAATTTCTCCTTACATCATTTTGCAATTTCCATGAATACAATTTACAAAAAAAAAAGAGATTACTGCTTATAATAGAATTTAAATCACATCCCCCATTTAAGGCTGTAAGTAGTATGGTTATCATATTTATATTTTTGAGCTAACACTGTGACTTAAAGTAAGTGTAAAATGTACTATACCATTACAATTTAAAGTATGCTGCTATTCTCTAAAGCTCTGAGGTGGTAAGTAACTTCAATTTTGTTTTATGAAGAAAAATTAGTTTATGTTATTTATCTGGGTGTTCCTTGTCCAAGATATACAGAATGCATAAAGTATGAAACCATTGGTTTCACAGGAGCCAAATTTCAAATTTTGTACTAAGGAGAAAGAAGGAGAGTAGCAAAATTCCAGGAACCTTTGGCATAGACTAGCAAATTTTCTGATTTTCTGGAGTTAGGGTGATGGATTTCTGTGACCTGAGAAATTGCTTTAAATGGCCTAGCATTCTTTTTGGACACCCTCTCATACCAGGACAGGAAGAACAAAAGCTGAGGTGACTAGTTCTGAATATTATAGATTAGCTGGAAGTATATAGGGGACATAATTAACAAGGTTATAAAGATTAGAGACCTAGAATATACAGGTTCTTAAATTACAGGTATAGAAGATGGAGTTTGAGTGGTGGGGTAAGGTAAGGTGGATCATAAAAATTTTGAATATATATTTAAATAGTTTATAATAGCAGGTCCTAAATAGTTATTGAACATAAGAATATAGGCAAAAGCCTGGTGACATGTATACATCACTTTTTACTGATTCATTATGTAGGTAAGGTTATATAGATAATTTCACAAACATACCTATGTGTAATTAAAATATATAATAGAAAGTTATCACCCATGGAATCTACATATGTGAGAGAATTTTCATGGATTGTTAAATTTAATTCTCACAACAACCCATGAGGTAAGTACTATAATTTCTCCAATTCTCTAGATGGAAAAAAGACAAGAAAGAGGCTAAATAACTTGATTATACTCAATTTCCTCACATTCCTCTTTCTAATTTCTTATTCTAAATTCATGAGGCAGCAAATCCTGGGGCCTACTATGAATACATATATGATGGTACAGATAGCCTCAGCTTTATATACACATTGGTGTAAAACAAAAACTTGAAATTACTACACTGAAATGTTAGAGTAAGTTATTTTTAGGGGATCTAATTATGAATAATTATTATTTTCTACCTTATATTCTAATTTTGCAGAATTTCTTTCATAAGAATACTATTTTTCCCTAAAGATAGGAAATATTATAAAGTATGAGTTGTCAGTTATGTAATTAAAAGGAAAACAATTGCTTCAGAATGAAAAGTATGAGGGGTGGATTGAAAAAATAAAGCGTAATAGTTAGTAGACATTATATAAAAAGGGTTTGTAGTTTCTGAAATATCTTTGGAATGTTTAAAAGTTTATTATATACCAAATTATGAATACACCTGATATACAAAGGTAGTAATTGTGCATATGACATTGTATGACCAAAATTAAAATTACCAATTTATGTAAATAGTAGAAAATGGGACACATAATAACTAATATAAGATAATTTTTTTAAAATAATATGATAAATATAATGCAGACAAATTTGAAAATGTCATTGACATGGGTGGTTTTCTGTTTGAAAGAATTACCAAAATGAACAAGAATGGAAAACAATTGATTACCTAAGAAATTAAGAAAATTACTAAATACATTTCCACTAAAGACAATCATATCTGGTATATTCTTTAAAACTTTCAATGAGCTCATAATTTCCATTTTTTCATATTGCTCCTAAAATCCAGAAACAGGCAAACCATTTAATTTTGCAATGTAATTTTGTCCTTATTAAAACACATAAAAATAAGGTCATTTATCAAAATATAGTCAAAAAGCTAAGTAAAATACTTGCAAATATAATTAGTGCATTAAAATCTTAATATTGTTATATTTAAACAGTAACTGTATACAATAATTTAAGTGTAATTTTAGTGTAATCTCAGGAATATAAGCCAAGCTCAACATAAATTTTATTCAATTATAAATAAACCTAACAAAATCAATTCTTCCTTCCTTCTCTGCAAACTAAAATAGAAACTAAGTTCAAGAAACAAATCCAAACACTTGTCAATCTGTGAGGGATATGCTAATAGAGCAATTAGAATTGTCTGGCTGTCTTAACTGGCTGTTACCAAATAATTAATGAGGTCAAGAAGCACATATAACATGTCTTTTAGCCAGGTGTGGTGGCACATGTCCATAATCTCAGAGACTTGGTAGGCTGAGGCAGGAGCATTGCAAGTTCCAGGCAAGCCTTAGCAACTTAGTGAGACCGTAAACAATTTAGCAAGATAAGAAACTGTCTCAAAATAAAAAAATAAAAGGCAGCTGGGGGTGTAGTTCAGCAGTGGTTATGCGCCCCTGGGTTATATCCCCAGTACAAAAAAGCACATGTGTGTCACTTGAGAGATGGGACTATAGCTCAGTGTTAGGGCACTTGTCTAGCATGTGTAAGGCCCTGGCTTCCATCAACAGCACCTTGAAAATATGATCAAAAAGCAGATATAGGGGCTGGGGCTGTAGCTCAGTGGCAGAGCTCTTGTCTAGCAGGTATGAGGTATTGGGTTTAATCCTTAGCACCACATAAAAATAATAAAAACAAAAACAAATCATGCTATCCATCTACAACAACAAAAGAATTTAAAAAGTAGATATGTGTCATTTGATTATCACCAATTAATTAAGAATGAAATCCAATCATCGATTTGACTATTAAGAACTTGAAGGCTAGGAGTATTCCTCAGTGGTAGGTGCTTGTCTACCATGCACGAGGCCCTGGGTTCAATCCCTAGTACCACATGCACACATGACCTTTAGTGTATCTACAGCTACTTGCAACCTATAAATGCTTGACACATGGAAAGTGTTAGATTCTATTTTGCAAAATACATGGTCATTCTTACCTAGGTTTGCCAAAGAAATATTTCCCAACAGCTTCTACAGACAGTCTCTTTCCAGGTTCAGGTGTAAGATAGTTTTATTTATAGACATGCAAAATTCCGACAAGACATTTAATCATGGGCCAACACTGCATTTTTGGTACATCTGGCAAATTATTAAAACTAAGAACTCTGTTTCCTGGAAATGTAACTATAAAGACTTCCATAATATAATTAGTGGGCCACCAAGAAATACAGGACTTCATTTTACTCCATTAAAAAAATCTTTTTCTAGATACTCAAGACACATGAAGTGTTTGAGGGAGAGGAATTTAGCCTATGTTTTTCTTTGGAAAATCAAACTTACTTTAAACAAGTATTATTGAGCTTCTTTCTATGTCATCTGCAAGCCACAGCAATGAATCACTAGTTCCTGATACGCAGTGTGGCTATACTTGGAGTTTTGACATATATCTAAAGATGCCATGGACACAAATTCCTTCCAACCACAGACCAAAGGATGGTGTCCAAGTCCTCACTGGGATGGAAAACACACATACAAACCATAGGAAAAGCACATCAGAATAATAATAAGTTTTAAACCAATTTAAAAAGAGGGAGAGGGAAAAGTAGAGTCTGGGAAGAAAACAGCTTTTGTTTTATCTTTTTTTTTTTTTCTTACTGGCTTCTCTCTCATTTAGAGTTTGTTTCAAATCCCCAGTCTGGTTTCCCAGAGGCTGCCTCACTTGCCTCTGCTGTTTTGATAGTCTGTCCTCCAGACATTATGTTGTTCACTCTCTCAGAGCATCAGCACAACAAAGTAGAAGCATGACTTTGGGGTCAAACAGATTGGCTTCAAGTCTAGGTTCTTTCTCTTACTGGGTTACTTGACCTTGAACAAGTCATTTTAGCTCATTTAACTGGGATTTTCTAAGACTCAGTTTTCTTATACCTAAAAAGAAACTACCAATAAAAAATG